TTCTGCATATTATTTTAATTAATTTTGAAAAATCAAGACTTTTTTCTTGTTTTGATTTTTTGGAATGAATTTCTGCATATTATTTTAATTAATTTTGAAAAATCAAGACTTTTTTCTTGTTTTGAAGTATTTTTCCGTGAATATGAGTTCAACTATGTTTATATGATTATCGTATGTTTGATCTGCTTTTTAAACAAAACATCTATCTTATAGAGTGTTTTGTTTTTGCAATGATTTAAAAAATATAATTCAAGTTTTATAAAACATGATTCATTTAAAATTAATTTGTCATGTTAAAGATAATGAGTAAGTTATTAGCTTATGTTATAAGATTTTAATATATTTTTTAACAAAAAATTATTACAATTCTCATCATATGTTTTTATATTAGATTATAAAGTTAACGTTTATGATCAAGTGTTATTTTGAAGTTTCACATATCTTTGATATGGTTGTGAACATTTTTTAAGTAGTACTTAAAGAATCAATTTGCCAAATACTTATATCTTTTTTTTTAAGTTGGAATCCAGAAACATTGCAACCAAGATTAGATGAATGGTGAACTAATATAGATTAAAAATGCAAATTTGATAGCCATAATTCAAACTTAATTTTGCTCATAAAAAAGAAGAAATTACAACAAGAGTAAGTTTTGCTTATATTCATTACACATCGATTACACATTTAATCTACATTATCAATGATGATGAATAATAAGTTTAGATAATCAACTATTACACATCTATGTTTTTATTGTATAGATTCAATATCAAAACAAGTCAACTTGCAATTTATCATAACAAATCTGTTGAGAAGTAACATCACGTTTAGCTATTTATAGTTAAGATTGATCGCTAGTGTTGATTTCATATATCCAGAATCTGTATATTACCATACAGAACGTATAGTATACTATCAAGATGCTATTCACTCGTGGAGGTAGAATTGAATATGAACCACATTATAGACTCATGTCTCTTGTGTTGGTTGTTACCCTAAATGTTTTGTCACTAACTATTATGAGGTTTTACGTTTACAAAATCTATATGAAAATTAGTTATTCAGCAAAAATATTTTTTTCAATCATAATATTTAAAAATCATGCCAAAATTTTAAGTAATTCATTTAATTTATGTTGTAAATTTATTTTATTTGACAATTTGTACATACATTTTTTTATGTATGTACAAATTAAATTTTTTTTGTATTTTGTAATCAAAAAATTATAAATAATTTTTTTTAATTTAATCTTAGTTAATAAGAGTAAAATAATGACTACAATAAAATGAGCTATTCAATGAAATTTTTTATTTTTTAAAATTTCGTTGAAGTTTATTTTTCAAGTTTTATAAATAAAATACTAATATTATATCAGATTTATTATAGTATTATCAGATTCAAAATCATCATTTGTAATAATTTTTTTTCATAATTATTTAATTATTTACTTATATAAATATAAAAAAATTGAAATAAAATAATAGAATCTGTACTTAAACTTTGAAAAAAAACTATTAAAAAATTTAGTTTAAGCAAAAAATTGTGCACAATTTTCTTTAAAAAATATAATGATTATACATAAGATTGTAATACAATAAGGGATAAAAAAACTCCACATGTGTACATAATTTATTGTATTAACTTATGTTAAACATTCAGATATCAATATTCAACCGATTAATGTTATAAAATTTGACACTTTTTATAAGATTATGATTTTGGTGATAATACATTTTTACATAGCAATTAGTCTATGGAATTAGCCATAACATGCATCTAATTAGTTATATTCAGGCATGCTTGTACTAGTCAATTGCTTTCAGTACCTAAATTAGTTTCATAAAAAGTTAGTTTATGCTACTTTAAGCGGATTTCAGTTCAAAATGTCTATTTAGCAGTAATGAATGCTAAAACTGTTTCATGAACAAGAACTATTTTGCTTGCACTATTCATTCTAATCCAAAGTTTGATAATCTTTTATTAAATAAATTTTTCTTTCCTCATTCCGAGGATCATAATATATTATTGTATGGAGACTTACCAACAGATACTCTAACACTCTAAATTATGCCAAATACCCTGCTACACATTCACAGTCTGCAGATTCTCCAACTCACCCGGTCGTTTCGAATAGACCGGAACGAACTAACTGGGGTAAAAGAGAACCGCGATTTGGCTTCAACTACACCGATCCGGACACCTTAGCAAGAGTAACGAGTGTTTGAGAATTGACGCATACATCAAGAAATGTCCACTGTTTTGGACCTTTGACTTGAGCTTAAAGGTTCAATTAGGACAAAAAGTTGCGATGGAAAAAAAGTATCAAAGACATTGAGAGACATAGATTGAGAAAAAGAACAAAAATATGGGAAAGTAAGCTGAATCTCAACGTCTTGTAGCAACAAGTTTACTCTACCTCTTACAATATATTGTCTCATATTTAAATCGTCTACAAAGTATTCATGCATCCAATTGTTTGATTTGAAATTTGAAACAATCAGGTAGAATTGCAATTCAAAGCACTTGAACATAGAGTAGATATCAAATGTTAGAATATCAATAACCCAGACCATCCCATAGGTATGCTCATAATAGTTCTTCAAATACAAACAAAGAAATTCTGTGCACTCTAACATCCAAAATGTTGACACAATAACTCTGCGAATGGACAAAACGCTACCTTTAGAATTTGTCTAACCTAACAACAAAGTTTAGTCACATTCAACGTGAAACTGAGTTTTTAATAAAGATATCCAAATCTTGTGAAAGACTTCAACAGGCAATCAAGACGTTTCCACATTCTTCAAATTTCAGCATTTGATTCTACTTTTCTCATTCTGAAAAAAATAATTATCTCATTTGACCAATGCTAGCTCCTAGACCCAACATAGAAGATAATTTACTCTTTGGAAATTACCGGTTAATGATAATTCAAAGGTATTTGAAGTCTAATCCAAACGAAGGAAGTTATGGTACAGGTTTGAAGACAAAGGAGGCAGCTAAGTATATTACTATTTGATTAGCTCTATTGATTGAGAAACATGAGTAATAAGAAACGAAGAATCACAAGAGCGATAGCAATAACATAACGTGCGAAATAAGATTCATCATGAGTTCACTCAACGGTGAGCAAAAGCTTTAGAATGCTAAGGTTGACTCGACTAGCAACATTCAGCTTAGATCTTACTGCTATTCTAAAAACAAGAATTGGTGAAAATGGATGAAAATTGCAATTTGGTGAAAATTTGAGTGAGAGTGCAAGTTCTAAGAAAGTTAATAGGTTATTGGCCCAAGGCTTGTAATGGCTAGAAAGAATTAAACTGTAAACTTCTTATCGACAGATTACTATTTCAATTAGAGAAAGTTTTTTGGAATGAAGTATGCTTAGATAGATGGGGACGTTGGAGAAGCAGAGAAGTTCTAAGTTGACGAGAATGCGAGTTGCACTCTGATTCGTTACCATCCGGATCCAAATCTTATTCTTTTTCCAAAAACTAGAAGATCAGTGAAAATCGTGAGTCGGTGAAATTTTGAGTAGAAAGTGCGACTTTCTTCTCCATTGGATGCCCATATCACTTTATTTAGGCGCCAAAATGAACCGAAGTTTAGGTAATTTAGGCTTTGACTTCTACGGTAGTCTAAATTACGCATGTCTGGTTATATTGCATGCCCTGCCTTGAAAAATCTTGTGTATTTCATTATTGACGTCATACATCATGTGCAGGATTGACCCATCAATGAAGGTTTAAAAAAAATAAAGATATATATTTTATTTTTATTTTATTCTATAACGCTAACTCAAGCTTGCATTAAGGTAGTCCATAGAGTGAATGAAAAAAAATTCTTTGGCATCGTGCATCTTATATTGTTTTGTGAGAGAGTACCCGACCCTTTAAATCGTAGTCAAAATCAATACAAAAATTTACGCTGTCTAATTTACAAATCTTTTCTTCTTTCCAAATGTTCATTAGATAATAATAAAAGTTGTTATCTAGTTCTAGTATCGGAGCAATGCAATCAGCGCCACCCTTATTTATACAAGGCATATTAATGTTTAGCAGAATATTCAAAAATTAAATTAAATTAAATTATTTTATTTAATGGATTATATTTTTTTAAATAATGAATGTGACATTTTTGAATTATTTATATATAAACATTTTGATACTATTTTAATACTTCTTCTCAATCTAAATTCCAATTATGGTGCGTGATATGCAAATAAAATAGTTATGAATATGATAATGTCTATCGCACAATTTTTTTGTGGCTAAGTTGAACATTATTTAATTTTTATAAAATTAACTCAAAAATAGTAATGCCAAGACATATATTTAAAAAATAAAATGACATTTTAATCTTACATATCATGTCTTACATGTCTCGATGTTTTAATAAATTACTTAGGATTTAATAGTTGCAATTTTGAATCACAGATCAATCCATTTGACATGTCAATCTTTCATATCGATTATTTGTTATTAATTTATAAATGTAAAAATTAAAATCATGTGTGATATTATGAGCCTCATCATGTTATGCATGTTATAATGTTGACAAGTGGCGCTTTTTACAGCATTCTTATTCAGAAAAGAATTTGAATTAAGGAGCAATCCGATTATTTGATATACTATGAGTAGTTATTTTGGACTTTTGATGACAAAAAATCTATCATATCTAGAAGAAATTAATAATATTACGTTGATCGAGATGCTTACTTCTTTCGCTGATTTATGAGTTATAAAATATTTTTAACTATAGGAATCTTATCACATAAGGTTTGTGACTACGTTCTCAAGCAAAAGTATGATTACATATTCTTACACAAGAAGCAACACAGTTCTGTTCATAGATATGAAAATCAATGTACAGTAGGTTGGATGTTTGTTACAAGAATAACTGGGGCCAGATCGGCAGAAAGAAACATGAGAAGACAACATCAAGCGGCACCTAATCAAATACGATAAGCTATATTGCAATGGAAGCACCGAATAGTGTGTGGCATTTTTAGGCACAATGGAAGCAACACATTTCGGTGTTCGGAACCCTCAGTCAAGACACGTAGTTCAGGTGGACCTAACACGGAACCTCGGAAGTGGATCGCCACCTCCTCAGAAGCATCAAAGTCTCACAATGCATCGAGAAGACACTCCACCGAAATTGATCGCCTCTTGCCATTCCATATCTCATATGCAATCAGGACCCTAGCAAGATCTTTGACCCGGGTGGTCGGATATAGTAGGTGCGAGTACATGGATTCCCAAGGTGATGCTATTGTGCCCTAGCCACATCTTACCTTTTGGATTCATCCGTGTACTATTTCATGCGGCCGTCCCGTACATTTTCCCATTTTAGTTGTGTACCCTCTACTTTACTTGTCGTTCCAATTATGAGATTCATTCTGTCATTTTCCCCTTGATTGCGTCTCCTTTTACCAGTTCCGGCACCAGGAATCGGCCGCGTTTTGAGTCGCCAACCTTGACACTGGCATGAACTCCGAAGTCTGCCATAAATGTATATATTCCCTTCGTCGAACACATGTCATGATTCTGCTGTGTCTCATATACCGAAACTATTGGACTTATATATGAGTTGAAATAATCAGCGAAAAAACGGAAAGTCTCGGGAATTGGGGATCCGGTTTGTGGGGGAACCCTTTTTCCTATTTACGGAGAATATTATTAAATAATGGAAAATAATATCATCATCATTTCGGAGAACGTTCTCCGGTTCTGCTCGTTCGTCGCTCGATTCTTGACCATTTCTGTTCTCCCATTTCCTTCGTTGCAGCCGGACAATGCATTTTGGCAGCGTGCAAAACCCCCTTTCGTGTGTTCGCATCGTGTCTTTTGTAACCCTCTGAAGCCAGTACTCCCTCCCTGACGATGAGTGCTGCTCTCTCCCGTGTTGCCTCCCTTTGTCTTGATTATCCGTGGCTGAATTCTCTCGTTCTTACCTTGTGATTTTTACTCGAGAGGTCGTAGATTCTGTCATTTCCGCGTCATCGACACATTGTGATGACCTGCATGATTTGCCGTTGTGATTTTCAAGCGCGTCGCGGAGTCGGCTGCCTTACCACGTGAATTTGTGGTGTTGCGCCTGGGACTGTACATCTGGGAGCTTTTGTGTAAGCCTTGTGAGCTGGCTTATCGATTAGGAGGTCGGCTCAGTGTTGAGCTGTGCTGCCGTAGATCTTCGCGGCTCTGGACAATTTTATGTTCCGTTCTCTGGAACGAGTCGCGCATCTGGTGAAGGATTGAGGTGGAGAGAGAAGCTGGACGCCATGGAAGCCGTAGTGAACGCGGACACTGCAGCTGCAGAGGCCCCCGTCGAGGAGAACAAGAAACGAAGGTTGAATGATGACAATAATGGATCTTCGATTGTTTTGTCAAGCGAAGAGTTGAAGAAGCTTTTGGAGCCTCTCAGTAAAGAGCAGCTCATCACGCTTCTTGCAGACGCGTAAGTCGCAGTTATACTCTCCTCGTTGTCCTATATATGACAGTAACAGCAGCAACTTTCTTAATTGGTGTTCTCACGGAAAGTTTAGTACTCACCGAATGTAGTTGGCTGAAACTTCAACAAGGTTCGCTGCACCAGAACATACCATTCGCCGAACAGTTCTCGATCTTTGGCACATATGACCTTGTTTGTAAATTTGAGCTCATCACGCGAGGTATCCACGTTTCTGTCGTAACGATGGCTCTGTAGTCGCCTGCATCATCTCCAGTCGGGGAAGATCGCTTGTCACTTTGAGGTTTAATCCACCACCTTTCCTTACGGTCGAATAGTCCTCTGTGTCTCTATCACCGACAAAAGAACTACCCACAGCCTTCTGTTACAACAATCTGTCAAATGTTGTTGTTACACTCAGGGTTTAGAGTCATCTGCATTTTCTTCATCCTATTAGCATAATTATTGTGCAGGTTCTTGGCATTCACTGACTGCATATCTTTCTCTTGTAGTAGCAGATTTCTAGAGCAGGAGGAGGTTTAGGGTTTCAATCCAGTCGAAACTGAAGCAGTGCACTGCTGCTGTAGTCCTTTCATCTTTTGTATTTTAGCGTCTGCTGGCATAGCCAGTTCCATTGATGAGGTTATTTAGAGTACATCCGATTTATAATGACTTAGATCTCGAGAATTTGATCGATATCCGGTGAGAGTAAAGTATACAGATATCCCTTTTTTCAGACCATTTTCATCAAGTCCTTACTGTGACACACTCTTCAGTTCCGGTTTCGGCTTTTCTTTCAGTTTTTCCTTTTCAGTTCTAGTGCTTAGTCGCATTCTTTATTCCTTCAATATGCAAGATCTCTACATATATCTCTGCATCCCGACGACCATATTCGTCTTGAAAGTTAGCGTGAGCTCAACAGTTACGTAGTTCTCATGCGAAGGTTTAGGCCTACTGCAGTCAGCCTTATCACGTTGAAAGAAAGCATTCTATGCTACACACCGTCTTATTAAGAATCTAGAGCCCCTTGTGATCACAACACACCTCTCTCTTGACATCAAATGGTGTTGTAACGTCCTAGAGCAACAGTAGACTTTCGAACCAGCAGTTTTGTCAGCCGCAGTGAGTCACAGGGTTCTTATGATGCACATCAGATTCTCATCTGAAAGTGACTAGCCAATTTTGTGCGACAACCTGGTACTTTCTCTTCGGTGTCTGACTCGTTGTCCTCAGGTGTTGCCTTCAGAGCATCCACCCTTCCAGTTCTACTGGTGCTCAACGACTTTGTCCCATTTGTCACCGGAAAAATGAAGGATTTGTTAAATATCCCTGGCAAGGGGGCAAGATTTATTATCACCAGATGTTGCTTATTTCTACCATGCACAAAGTCTGAGGGTACAGGATTCCACTTTCGCTAACGTTCACTTGAAGCTATATATGGTTGATTTCATAGAGTTCAATTGCCTGGTAAGTACAGATTGATGCCATCATCGAAGTTGTGCCCTGGCAACCAAGAAATTCTTGCAGGATGTACTAACAAGTAAGGAATGATCTGAGATGATCTACCCAAAAACAATCTTCAATCTTCCGAGCAATCATACCTTTGCCATCTTTTCTTGTATCTATATACTATTTCATACATGACCTGGGTATGCTTTATTTGTCTTGTCCAGATGTAAAGACCACGAGGCTGCTCACTTGTTCCTTACATTCATATTTGTTACTTCGAGTCATTTTTCGCATAGAAAGCACTCACTCTCTGGATGTGGGTATGCTGACATGCGTTACTCCTGTGATTTTTTTTATGTATGGGCGCTCTTGACGTTGACTGTTCCTGTGTTTGTGAAGTAAGAGTGGAAGCTCTTGCTTGCCTGCATCTGTATGAATGGATTGACTGGGGATGCATGTGGGGTGGTTGTTGGCTGGTATTTCTGCAGAGGTTCTCAATTTTCTGCGGTTGCAGATGATATTAGAGATGTTGCAAGCAAGGATCCTGCTCATCGGAAGCTGTTTGTGCGTGGCCTGGCTTGGGAGACCACTTCACAGGCTCTGCGTGATGTGAGTGCATGGATTGCTTGATTGTCTGTTACGCTTATTGTCAAGCAGAGAGGAGAGAAAGAGCTCATCTTTCCTTGTCAAGAATGTGCCTCTTCGGCATTACAATTTTGTATTTTGAATGATTCCTGGTATGGCTGTCCCGAATGATCATATCGAGACTGACTTTTTGTGATGAGTGTTGGATAATTTGGGAATCACATCTGGGTTGTCTTGAGAACCACCTATCTGATAAGTGGGCTCTTTTATTATACCCTTCCCGAGAGCAGCTCCATTGAAATCAGGTACTGTATCCGAAGGTGTACCCTGAAAATGGGTCTGCAGTGGCTAGTAAGAAAGCTACATGGTGTGCGTCATAATGCTGAAAGTTGTTCGTTTATGGTCTTTGAGCAGGCGTTTGAGCAGTATGGCGAAATCGAAGAAGGTGCCGTTATTACTGACAAGGCAACGGGAAAATCTAGAGGATTCGGTTTCATCACTTTTAAGCATATGGACTCTGCGCAACGTGCTTTGAAAGAACCTAGCAAGAACATCGATGTAAGTCTCTTTGAACCTGCCGACAGTGAATGGTCGCGACATTCGGTATCAAAATACTTCTTTATATGCTTCCGTTAATCCCCTCTTTTTGAAGCACTGGCACCTTTCGGCTACTTTGTGCCTAATGATTCTGGTCCGTATCACGTAAATCGTTGTTCTCATGCCTCTCTGCTTGACTGTTTCGCAGGCCTTTGAGTCACACTCTGCTTTCGTACATGCTTGTCTTTGTTTCACTTTAACGATCATTGTGCCGCATAAGTATCTTGATCTACTTCACCTAGGGCTGAACTATTCGTCTAGTATCCCCGAAATATTGTAGATGGTCTTGTTCTCTCCTACTATTTCGTCATTTAACTTTTTGCTTTACCTCTCAACGGGTTGTAAGTACCTCTTTCGACTACAGTGGAAGTCCTACATAAAGAAAAACGGGTCTATATTTAGGGTACATAAACCTTCTGTATTGATAATTTGAGTTGATTTTGAACTCAGGGGCGTATCACTGTCTGCAATCTGGCTTCAAGCGGAAGTACGACCACTGCCACCGATCAAGCGCAGCGAAAACTGTATATCGGAGGGTTGTCGTATGAGACATCAAGTGATACTTTATTGACGATATTCTCCCAGTACGGAGAGATCGAGGAAGGTGCAGTCGCTTACGACAAGAATACGAACAAGTCACGGTAGGTATTACTTTTTCCTGTTTTAATGCTTATATTGCCTTGTGTTTTAACAAGCTCAACATTGCAGTATCGTTTGTAGCTCTTGCAATAATACTGCTAGATTCATAAAATGAAGTAGCAGATGTAACATGCATTCTGATTCATCATCTTGGTTTACTTCTGAATCCTCTCGTCGTGACGCGTCGCCGTTGAAGCTGTACCGGTCCTTCTTTGTATATGTTCTCTACGCATATTTCCCTGTTTTAGTCTTCACGACTAATCGACAAACACTCCAGTTTAGATGAACTTATTTTTGGTTCTCTCAGTTTTAATATGGAGCCTTGGACAAGGCCTATAAACCAGCGGCATCTCGTTTGTTCCTACCTCTCTATGTCCCCTGGATATGTTGATTCTTAAAACACGCTTCTTTTGCCGTCATGAACCCCGCCTTCCCACTCCTCGTTTTCTCTCTTCATTTTCTCCGTCCAAGTCTAGCAGAGGTTTATGAAACAATGAGGAACAGGTCATACCGCGCATATCCTTCTGCAATTATAAGGTTATTGTATTTCTCAAAAAATGCACTAATGCTTCATCAAACGCAATCATAGACTACTTGGTCTGTACTTTTCGGACTTGAAGTTACTTCTACATCTGGTCGCTCTTATTCAGGAGGCGTGTCACTTGGGTCCTGTTGTACGCTTCTGCTCCTATTTCCGCATGTTGTACTGTATATGCTGACTTTGTGGTGCTTGGAGGTTATCTGTTGCTTCTTTGCTTTTGACTTTTCTCCCTCATGAATGTATTCATTGGAGTTTACTGTCGAAGCCTGTGTTGGGTCTGTATACAAACATATATTCTTGAATATGTCGATAGAAAATTGAAGCTTGACGTGCATGCTTGCAGGGGTTTTGCCTTCGTTACATTCAAGACTCTTGAGGCAGCAAAGCGGGCAATGGATGATCCTAACAAAAATATTGAAGTAAGTTCTAAGAGTTTAAAGGATTTTGGTATTATTGTTAAAGTGAAGTGCCGATATCTACCCGACTTCAATAGTTCAGCTCACGAAGCGGCATTGTTGTGTTTTAATCTTTCTAAAAGCGGGATACTGGTCACGTCGTGATGCGACGAGTAATCTTCTTAATTTCACCTTCTCGATCACAAATCTGTAGTTTTGAGATGGCGAATTGCAATCTCGTAATGATACGCCCAAAGGGTCGATATCGTTTTTAGAGGATTCTTTGTTGCTCTATTGTGATATGCGTAGTCTCTTCATCATGTGATCAAACATCTCAATATTCTTAAAGCATGTGTAGGTTATTTGTAGCATGTTAGTCTTCAGAACTAACGTTGCCTTTGAATGAATCATTTTCCAGGGAAGGCACGTCATTGTCAAACTAGCTGCAGAAGGACAAAAGGAGAAAGCTGCGGCGCAGGCTGCAGCATTACAAGTGCAAGTGGCAACCCAGGTGCAACCAGGCTATGCAACTGTAACTCCAAATCTTGCCTCGTACCCTAGGGCTCAGGTAGCAGCTCCCCAAGCCCCTACTCTTGGTTTTGCCACGTATACTCCAGGAATTGCATACACCACACAGCCTGCTTATGCTGCCCTCTCAGCAACAACACAGTATGCTACTGCCGGTCCTCAGTACAATCCTGCACAGTACGCGCAGTATGCATCTGCATTTCAAGCCCAACAAGCCCCGCAGGGTGGGTTGCCTACAGGTGCGGGTGGGGGAGGTCTACCTTACTACACTGGTGGGACATAACACAGACGTGGATCTCGGTAGAAGAAAGGAAGGGATGATACGGGTGTGGGAGTATGGAACACTGTCGAAAATGAACTTTCCGGCCCAGGCGCTGGGATCATTTTCAGTCGTGCAGTCCTTGTTTGTCGCAACCCGCTGATTCTAAGATGGCTTCGGACAGTGGGCGAGCGCCCACAATGAACTTCGATGCTGGAAGCTTGTCGGGGACTGTTCTCAAGGTACCCTTGTGAGTTTCCCACAACATGGTTTCTTCCGTCCTTACCCTCTAGAGCTGAGGTGATGGTGTTGGTCCATGTTTCGATGAGTATGCTGCAGCGGATGGCTATCATATATTTTACAATTGTCAAAAATGCTACTTTCTGACTAGAAGAGTGTGAGGAAGCAATATAGTACGAGACCTGTCGACTTGTCCATCTGTGATGTGGTTTTAGTATGGAAGGTTGAAGTGAGGTGGATTTGAGAATTAGGCGGGATCTAGTATCTACGGCACTAGAGTTAATACATCTAAAGAGGTACACACGTAAATTTTTTATTTTGCTCTGATGAGTAGTTGGTGGTCATGTTGCACTTCTGGCGTGTGATCAGGCATGGTTCCTGAACATCCAGGCGTACAAATTGGTCCCTTCCGAATGTGAGATGGATTATCAAGCTGTGTTCTGTCAGCATCTATCTTTCTTTGTAAATCTGTCCCTTATACATGGAACAACCTTGCCGACCGAAGTTGAACTCGAAAAGTTTAATTTTGTTTTGAGGTTGTGAGACTTGATTTGTTGAAACCATATAATGATGTGGAGAGGTCACATGTTCTTTGAATGTGATGGACATTTAGGCCATGTGTAGACTAGCTAATATGGTTTTTCTCTTTTAGTGTCTTGCACTGGGGAATGAAACACAAGGAAGACCTTCCCGTAACTTCCTTCGCATATTCTTTTCTTCAGTCTATGCAATGACACGGTCCTTACAGCCTTCAGTCTTGATGGCAACTTATACTGTCCATTTGATTGGGAGTAACAATGTTTTTATATTCCCGTGTTGGAATGAAGCACGCTTCTGATGTTAGTGAAGAATTTGCGTTAAGTGTCCAAACGAGGGAATGGCTTTTCTTAGAGGTGTTAGCTGGTCCGTCAAATGACTATGTAGTATGGATTTCGAACAGTAGTGGACTGCACTGAACCTCTGACGTGATTGCTGTCGACTGAGATTTGGAGGTATGTTCATAAGACGTTCAAATAAAACACACGAAATGTGCGTAGAGGAGGCCGCGATAGGGGGTGTTTTTCATCTGAACACTTGATCCATATTTGGCATAAGTCTGTGTAAGTCTACAGATAGATTAGAAGTCACACCGGCCACGATTTGCCTGATGCCATTCGTCCAAGTATGTGATGTCATTATCTTTCTGCAGTTGTGTTAAAGCACTGGATCTTTTGCATGCCTTCCTATTGAGGCTTCTACTACTATCCTTCACTGTCAGGTGGGATCTGCTTATCAGTTTTGAGTTCATCTCCTAAGCACTATACTCCATATAAATTCAACCTTACCCACACTCAGCAAGATGGTCATCATCAAGTCCCTTGTCACTGATGCAATTGTTTATCTCTTCTGTACAAGCCTGTGTTTTGTCTTTAAAGTTTCCAGGCACCAGTTTGAGTCTGGCATTTCAAACTCGAAAATCTTATCGATGGTGGCGATTGACAGCAAAGCTCTCTCTAGAATCAACACGTAATACTAGTCGAACATGGTTTCTAAATTGTAACTCCATTCAATGCTGCAACACATGAGCCATGTTCTGTAGTTATCTTAAGTGGTATCTTTTTGGAAGTGTTACGCCCATGAGCTGTCATATGTTGACTAGTGTGGTTAATTATACTTCTCTTCAGCAAAAATCTAACGTGGATGAGGATTTGCTCTGATGGGTGCCTTTGTGCTCTGTGTAGATTAATTCTGAGGTTGTCGGACTGTATCCAGCAATGCGAAGTTCATTCATGGTTCTGACCAAGCCAGAATCAAGTAGTTACTCATTTTTGTTGCGAGGCAGCTGCTATTATGAAACCAGCAGTGAATTTAATTATTTATATCTGTTGAGCTTTCAGGGGGTCATATGTACCAGGCAAGAAAAGTCATCTAAGTTGCCAATAGTCAGAAGCAGCCTCAACAACTCATTCAGTGTCGAAAAAAGTTGTACAAGAGTTGAGGGTTCTCCTCGCACGAAAATATCAGCTACGATGGAATGTATAACAGTGTATATGATCGTAGAGATTTGCACAATCCCATACAGATGTATCCCATATTTATGTGATGGGTGTTGAAGCCACATCCGATGTATAGTACTTGTCCAATTTTTGAAGATCTTGGAAGTCTCACGAAGAAATTCGTGTCTTAAATGTGGTAAATTAGTACAATGGCGTAATACGATTTTTGTTAACCCCCATTAACGAAGAGTTTTTATAGTAAGGCGTTTGGCTGTCGGTTGCGGGAGGCATGTGTAAATCATGCTGAACTCGTTTGAGGTTTGTTTTCCTGGTTAAAAATATATTGTTACAGGATGAGTAGGCGATATATTGATATCACATGAGTTTCTGAATCAGAAACTGCGTGGACCGGCAGCTTTCGGTGCACTTGTAGTCGTCTTTAGAAATCGTCAATGTATATATACATATGTAAAAGTATTAACTTAAACGGAGTTAGATGATTAAATCATATGTTCATATTCATGCAAAATCGGTAGTGGTGATATTTGTCATTATTGCATTTGAAGACATTGTTACTATTACCTAACCTGATAAAGGTGGTGAAATGTTAAGATACCTGGAAAGATAAATTTATTTCATTTTTAAAATTTAATTTATTTTTCCCATGGTAAAATAAATTATCTAGAAGAAAGTCTAACATAATGTATCATATTATATATTTATTGTATTCCAAGTTTAATAATATTCTCTGTATACATGTTTGCCGACATAGTCCGATCTACAACTGGGATACTCTTCAAACTATATTAAAAATTTTCAGATCTATTATTCAAAATTAAAAAAAATAAATACTTAAAAAAAAATAAAAAAAAATCAATAAGAATAAATTACAAAATTTAATATCTATTGAAAAAAAATAAAAAATTAAAAACCCAATAAAAAATTTAGTATTAACAAAAATAAATAACAAATTTTAGTGTCAATGAAAATAAATTACAAATTCTAATATCAAATAAAAATAAATAACAAATTTTAAAATCAATAAAAATAAATTATAAATTTTAATATCAATAAAAAAAATTTAAAAACTTAATTATTATTAAAAAATTATTTTTTTAATAAAATGGATTTTTTATTTCAATTAAAATAAATTACAAAAATTCATATCAATAAAAAATATATTAAAAAATTTTAGTTTCAATAAAATAAAACAAAAAAGAATAAAAATAAATCTTATATCATTAAAAGAAAAATTTAAATTTCTTCTATAATAAATAGAAAAAAATAAATTCATAAAATACTTTAAAATATTTATAATAAATATTATTTTATGATTTTATTCAAAAATAGAAACAATTAATTGACTTTTTATGATTGAAAAAATAAGTAAAATATTTACCTTTAAAATTATCAAATAAATATATCACAAGTCATATTGATAGAATATTTGAAAAAAATGTGTTAGAAAAAAAAATTTGTTCAAAAAATCTTAAAAAAAATCGATTTATGAATTTATCATCAAATTCAATTAAAAAAACATTTTTATTTAAACTGTACAACTTGGTTGGAAGGGATGGATGTCAACCACTACTGTTCTTATAGTTTTGAAGAAGTTATAGGTGGTGCTGCTTGCAAAGAAGAACGTAAAATATCAAAGATAAACTAGCCACTTACTTTTAAAAAGGTGAGATTTCCAGATTGTGCAAGTCATAAAAGTCTAGAGTCTAAAATAACACCCTAAAGTCTTTTAAATTTGGAAATATTTTTCCAATTATAGTATACACGAGGAGCAATAAAGACTCTCAAGAATCTTTAGTCATCCTCATAGTTTTAGATGGAACTGGTATACAGATAAAATGTTACCCATAGATGAGATAAACTTTTGCTAGATTTATCATGGATTGGATAGTAAATTATGCTAAATTATTAGTAGTTAAAAATGTCTTAAACTACTAAATTTAGACAAGTTGAAAATTGTAGAAGTTTCAATATTCTAAATGATATGTAATCATCTCAACTTAGAAGCAAAAAAGTTTCTTAGAGTTAGGTGGATCAATGCAATGTTGACATGGAAAATTCTTATTGAAAATTAATCATTCAACTATATAATATTATCTTTGAAATACTGTTCTCATTGATAAAACTTTTGGCTTAGTATTTCTTTTCACTAATATAAGCATCTTAGTTATCACCTTTGTTTTTCTTCACAAACAACAGCATTTTATTATCACTTTTTTTTTCTAGTAAGAACATTTGGGGATAATATTTCCACTTGTAAGATCATATTATTAGTTATTTAGACCACTTTTACGTTATTATTATCACTAGATTTTATGCGTATTTGAACAAAAAAATTCTAAAAAAAATCTTTGTAGCAATTATTTTGACCGTTTTAACCCTATTTATGTTAGTGATAGCTCAACAACTTGATTCATTAATATTTTCTTGTTACAATCTATAAGTATATATCCGTGTTACTTCACAAAACTGGATGTTTTGTAGATGAAAATAGAGTGAATTAGTTGAAAGCAACACATTAACATACAATACACATATTAGGTAATGATTAAGATTGTTAGTTACAATGATTAGAGCAATATATAAATAATTAGTGTGCTTGTTGTTAGTGTTGCATATCATAAATGAGCTAAAAATTTCAAAAGAGTAAATTGAACATTTGAAATAATGTATTGGATTATCATGAAAACAGAGCAAGATATTTATATAATCTGATTTCATAGTCAAAATTCCTTTAAAATGTAACATTATGGAATAATATAGAAGATCATTTGAAGTTGAAACAAAAACTCTGAAAATGATAGATACATAAGATTAAGCTCTCTCCGTTTGGTTCATTTTTGGGACATTGAAACAACCACTT